ACCTGTTCCTGGCTGAACTCCAGAGATGTTCGGAGGTTCTGAAACTCCTGGTGAAGAACCTCGAGCAGATGAAGTCGCCCCTCAAATCCCAGAAGTGATTTATCTATAGAATCTAATAATTCTAAAATGTCCTTCCGGGGAGATGAGGCCTCAGGCGAGTCCTGAGGACGGCTCCTCTTGGTCCCAGCAGGTGTTTCAGCCTCAGCCGCTGATTTCTTCGGACCCATGACGAATAACTCAAAAACTTCGTCAATATAATTTAGTAAACTTTCTGAATTTTCTTCACTTACCTCCAGATTGAGTGAGTTATACTTACCAGATTATTTTTTGCGTTGTCAGTAAATAAATTAGGCAAAAATGTGTCTTAATTGTTTGTGGATGTTTGTTAACGAGCTGCCATCAGCTTCAAACGCTGCCGTGTGTCCGGTGATCGGCCGTCAGCGCATGCTCACTCCTCCGCCCACTTAGTACTTCCACTGTCAATAATTTTCATCATCTTTACATCATCATTTTCATCAACATCATTGTCATTGTCATCATCATCATCATCGTAAACATCATCATCATCAACATCATCATCCTCTTCATCATCGTCATTGTCATCATAGTCATCATCATCATCATCATTGTCATCCTCATCATCGTCATTGTCATCATCATTATCGTCATCATCATCATCATCATTGTCATCTTCATCGTCATCGTCATTGTCATCATCGTCATTGTCATCATCATCGTCATCGTCATAGTCATCATCATCATCATCATTGTCATCCTCATCATTGTCATTGTCATTGTCATCATCATTATCGTCATCCTCATCATCGTCATTGTCATCCTCATCATCGTCATTGTCATCTTCATCGTCATCGTCATTGTCATCATCGTCATTGTCATCCTCATCATTGTCATTGTCATTGTCATCATCATTATCGTCATCCTCATCATCGTCATTGTCATCATCATCATTATCGTCATCGTCATCATCATCATCGTCATTGTCATCATCGTCATCATCATTATCAATGTCAACATCATCATCATCACTGTCAACATCATCATCATCATTGTCAACATCATCATCCTCATCATCGTCATTGTCATTGTCATCATCATTATCGTCATCATCATCATCATCATTGTCATCCTCATCATCGTCATTGTCATCATCATTATCGTCATCCTCATCATCGTCATTGTCATCTTCATCGTCATCGTCATTGTCATCATCGTCATTGTCATCATCATCGTCATCGTCATAGTCATCATCATCATCATCATTGTCATCCTCATCATCGTCATTGTCATCATCATTATCGTCATCATCATCATCATCATCATTGTCATCCTCATCATCGTCATTGTCATCATCATTATCGTCATCCTCATCATCGTCATTGTCATCTTCATCGTCATCGTCATTGTCATCATCGTCATTGTCATCATCATCGTCATCGTCATAGTCATCATCATCATCATCATTGTCATCCTCATCATTGTCATTGTCATTGTCATCATCATTATCGTCATCCTCATCATCGTCATTGTCATCATCATCATTATCGTCATCGTCATCATCATCATCGTCATTGTCATCATCGTCATCATCATTATCAATGTCAACATCATCATCATCACTGTCAACATCATCATCATCATTGTCAACATCATCATCCTCATCATCGTCATCATCATCATCATCATCATCATCATCGTATTTGTCATCCTCATCCTCATCCTCATCATTGTCATCATCATTGTCAACATCATCATCATCATCATCATCATCGTCATCCTCATCATCATCGTCATCATCATCATCATCATCATCATCATCATCATCATCGTATTCGTCATCCTCATCCTCATCATCATTGTCATCATTGCCAACATCATTATCCTCATCATCGTCATCATCATCATCATCATCATCGTATTCATCATCCTCATCATTGTCATCATCATTGTCAACATCATCATCATCATCATCATCCTCATCATCATTATCATCATCATCATTATTATCATTGTCAACATCATCATCATCGTCATTGTCATCAATGTCAACATCAACATCATCGTCAACATCATCATCATCATCAACATTGTCATTATCATCATCATCATCATCATCATCATCAAAATCATCATCATTATCATTGTCATCCTCATCATCGTCAACGTCAACATCATCATTGTCATTTTCACTATCATCATCGTCGTCGTCATCATCATCATCACCATTGTCATCATCGTCATCATCATTATCATCATCTTCATCATCATCATCATCATCATTGTCATTGTCATCATCATCATCAATGTCAACATCATCATCGTCAACATCATCATCATCATCAATGTAATTTTCATCATCTTTACATCATCATTTTCATCAACATCATTGTCATTGTCATCATCATCATCGTAAACATCATCATCATCAACATTATCATCCTCTTCATCATCGTCATTGTCATCATAGTCATCATCATCATCATCATTGTCATCCTCATCATCGTCATTGTCATTGTCATCATCATTATCGTCATCCTCATCATCGTCATTGTCATCATCATCGTCATCGTCATCATCATCATCGTCATTGTCATCATCGTCATTGTCATCATCATTATCATTGTCAACATCATCATCATCACTGTCAACATCATCATCATCATTGCCAACATCATCATCCTCATCATCGTCATCATCATCATCATCGTATTCGTCATCCTCATCCTCATCATTGTCATCATCATTGTCAACATCATCATCATCATCATCCTCATCAACATCGTCATCATCATCATCATCATCATCATCATCATCATCGTATTCGTCATCCTCATCCTCATCATCATCGTCATCATTGCCAACATCATCATCCTCATCATCGTCATCATCATCGTATTCATCATCTTCATCATTGTCATCATCATTGTCAACACCATCATCCTCATCCTCATTATCATCATCGTCATTATCATCATCATCATCATCGTCATTGTCATCATTGTCAGCATCATCTTCGTCGTCGTCTTCGTCTTCCTCCGCTTATCCGGGTCCGGGTCGCGGGGGCAGCATACCAATTAGGGAGCTCCAGGCCGTCCTCTCCCCGGCCTTGTCCACCAGCTCCTCCGGCAGGACCCCAAGGCGTTCCCGGACCAGATTGGAGATGTAACCTCTCCAACGTGTCCTGGGTCGACCCGGGGGCCTTCTGCCGGCAGGACATGCCCGAAACACCTCCCCGGGGAGGCGTCCAGGAGGCATCCTGACCAGATGCCCAAACCACCTCAACTGGCTCCTTTCGATCCGGAGGAGCAGCGGTTCTACTCCGAGTCCCTCCCGAATGTCCGAGCTCCTCACCCTATCTCTAAGGCTGAGCCCGGCCACCCTACGGAGGAAACTCATTTCAGCCGCTTGTATCCGCGATCTCGTTCTTTCGGTCATTACCCAAAGCTCATGACCATAGGTGAGGATTGGGACGTAGATCGACCGGTAAATCGAGAGCCTGGCTTTCTGGCTCAGCTCCCTCTTCCCCACGACAGATCGGCTCAGCGTCCGCATCACTGCAGACGCCGAACCAATCCGCCTGTCGATCTCCCGATCCCTCCTACCCTCACTCGTGAACAAGACCCCGAGATACTTAAACTCCTCCACTTGAGGTAGGACCTCTCCCCCGACCCGGAGGAGGCAAGCCACCCTTTTCCGGTCGAGAACCATGGTCTCAGATTTGGAGGTGCTGATCCTCATCCCAGCCGCTTCACATTCGGCCGCGAACCTACCCAGCAAGAGCTGAAGGTCAGAGCATCATCATCATCGTCAAAATCATCATCATTGTCATTGTCATCATCATCATCGTAAACATCATCATCCTCTTCATCATCGTCATTGTCATCATAATCATCATCGTCATTGTCATCATTGTCAACATCATCATCATCAACATCATCATCCTCTTCATCATCGTCATTGTCATCATAGTCATCATCGTCATTGTCATCATTGTCAACATCATCATCGTCAACATCATCATCAACATCATCATCCTCTTCATCATCGTCATTGTCATCATCATCATCATCATCATCATCATTGTAATTTTCATCATCTTTACATCATCATTTTCATCAACATCATTGTCATTGTCATCATCATCATCGTAAACATCATCATCATCAACATCATCATCCTCTTCATCATCGTCATTGTCATCACTGTCATCATCATCATCATCATCATCATCATGTTCAGTTGGCCAACAAAAATTGCATCGGACAACAACTTCCGTGGTCAAAGCCACTGCTTCGCCTTTACCGCAACTGAAGGAAGTCACTGGGATTAAACTTTTGTAGTATCTTGTGTTTGGATTACATTTTGGTTTAGAGTTTAGAGTTAATCTCTTTTGTGAAGTAGATCTCCTTCTTGGTTACATTTAGAGTGTCGAGAGCTTTTGTTTAGTTAAAGGACCTGCCGTTCTAGCAGGTACCTAATTGCTCTTCACTGGAGGATTTGTTATCTTTATTATTATTTATTCCACAGACGTTACTGCGGCTCGAATGGAAAAGTGCACTCCCACAAATTTGACATCATAACGACTGTTACTGTTATGTTGCAATAAACATCAAAAAAATGTTCATTTTGTGTGGGTTCAGTATATGTGTGTGTTCATTAAGTGTGGAGCCAGGATTGGGACAATATCACATGTAACTTGCACGTTTTGTAACTTGTAACGTGTTTTGTAACTTTCATTTTGTAGCATGTAATTCATGTTTTGTAACACATAACATCAGAAATGTAACATCAACCTTGCATTGTGTAACTTGCAGAAAGAAAATCAATGTACAAGTTTCAAATCACAACTCTCAAAAACACACATCTCAGCATCACTGTGCTTGCCCATCCCTTCGTCCTCCCACACACTCCCATCCTCCTCATCATGTGCTCTTATTGTTTTGTGACCCCCCCGACTTGACTCTGGACCTGTTCTGATATAAATTTTTCCCTTCTGTACATCCCTTTGGGATGTGTTTAGAGTGAGATGATGCTACATAAACCAACTGAATTCCTAGTTTCGGGGTTTTAACAGGTTATTTCTAATAAAATCGCTGATCAGGATCAGGGTCAGAAAATGCAGGAATACCTTCGGACATGATCATAATGACCTCCTAAGGAAACTGGATTCTTATGAGGTGTTGCTACAACTAACTCTTATTGTTCTCCCTGATCTTAGCTCAGCCCCCAGCTCCTCAGCGGCCATTCTTTTCTCTGTTCATCCCCTAATAATGGCTGCTGATTTCTTTTAGTCGCCTCTGTTTGGTGCAGGAACGTGTGTGGATTTTGTGTATTTTTCACTGACAATACCCACCTGCAGTGGTTGTGAATAAGACTGATGAGAGCTGGGAAATTCTAACTATTCATAAGTTGAGGCTAAAATGCAGCTTTTGAGCTGAAGGCATCAGCTCAGAGATTAAATTTAGTTCTTTTTTTCTGTCCACCACATTGCACGGCCACAACTGGTGCAGGTTTAAATGGCGGCCTCTTTCTGATCTTTTTTCTTCATTTGGGCCGTGTGACAGTCTGATGCTGGTCAGGACAAGTCCTCACATCGAGTCCATCTCTCAGGATAAACATTGTTAGAGTCCCTCCTGATTCTGGCCGTCAACGCTGGCGGATCCTTCAGCCTCATTAATATTTATGGGCTTAAACAGGATTTTACAGGCTGGCCTGTCACCACTGCTGTAAAACTCATGCTGGATGCCGAGCGGCCCCATCACAGATGAAGTAATGGGCCTGGAATGCTCAAACACGTGCTTGGTGGGGAGTGCTGCTTATCGTGGCTGCATGCACTGACGTGTGGAGAGTCCCGAACCCTACCACCCCACCTAGTGGACACTTATGTTGTGTAATGTCTGAAGTCTGTTGCATATCTGTCTGAGGTGTTGTTTGCATAGCAAAGCTGCCCTCCCTGTGGAGGGTAACTCTGAAGTGCCTTTTTTCCCTCCACCTGACCCAATCCTCATATAAACCCTCTGATCTCTATTAAGGTAGCGCGACTCAGGGTTGCGAATGACCACAGTCACCAATTCTTGTCTTGTGTCTATGTATGTATGTCTGATCTCAGAATTGTGTGTACTGAAACTCTAATTTCCCTCTGGGATTAATAATGTATCTTTGAATTGAATTTGAATTTACCAGACAGACACTCAAAGGTCCGTCTTCACTGTTCCGAGTCTCGTGAGCTGAGCTCTTCCTGTAAACACTACAGCATCTGATCTGAAGTACATCCTCCAGAGTGGATGATGCTGCTTCAACTCTGGCAGCTGTGTGAAGGAGGCGGTTATTGGAGGTTTGTGACCATGATGAGGGAAATTGTCTGTAGAGCACAGCTCTGTTTGTGTCCTGATGAAGGAAACAACGTCTGCTTCATCAGATTTGTCAGGCGATTTAACTCAGATTGAGACATAAATGCATTCAGCAGGAGCTGTTAGGGCTGCTGCTGCAGGTTCTCTAAAACCACTTTCTTGTGGCTTTTAATCACAGCTCAAGTCTCAGAACAAAGCCAACAAAATAACTGTTGCTGCCAATTTCTCTCTCTCTCTCTCTCTCTCTCTCTCTCTCTCTCTCTCTCTCTCTCTCTCTCTCTCTCTCTCTCTCTCTCTAAGAGACCTGTTTGAGTCAGAGGTGACGAGTCCAGCCAGTCACCTCCTTCCTGCTGATGGTGCTGATACCCACCTCCATCGAGCTACATCCCACCTCCATCGAGCTGCAACCCACCTCCATCGAGCTGCAACCCACCTCCATCGAGCTGCATCTGTCATCCGTCAGCAGACCAACAGCATCTTATCTGCAGACCTATGCAAAGTAGGAACCACCTAATTAGAGGCACTCACAGCCACTGGCAGCTGCACTGGTAGAGTCAATGAGGTGGCTCACTGTGATGAATGGATGCTGGAGTGTTTCTCTGCATTTTGACGTTTTTTCACATTCAGGTAAAATGAAGTGGAAACAGCATCAGCACCGTGCCAGCACCAGTCACCATGGGACCGTTCGACAAGACCTTGAATTTAGCTCAAAGACTTTTAGCTTTACAAATTAAATTTCTAGATTCTGTCAGTGGTGCAGCAAAGAGCCGCCCTGCTGGCTACCCCTAGCCAGACAGCCTTACAGAAAAAGTATACATGTGTATTTAATAAACTGAATATAAGAGGACAAGCTTCATTGTTTGTTTACACTACTGAGAAATTTTCTTGCAGGGCTGTGACTGCTGGAAACAAGCTGGAGCCAAGTAACAAAATGCAAATACTTTAATATTTGACTTAAGAAGAATGTTTGGGTGTCTCTACCAGTGGCGGCTCCAGAAATTTTTTTCTGCAGGTGCTATGAAGGCAAGGACATAATTTTCACTTTAGAAGTGGAGGGGACACTGGGGGGTGGGGGGTGGAGGGTGGGGGGGATCTTTACAGTATGTTCTAATGAGAAACAGGCTTCAACACAAAAGGTTGTTTTCCGCTTGGTCCTAGAGCTCAACCATTGTCAGTTTAATATAGCGTAACATTGTTTTTGGATGGTAAAAAGTGCAGGGGTCAAAACTTGACTTTGGAAAAAGTGGGGGGGACATGTCCCCCCTGGTCCCCCCCCCCCCCAAAAAAAATTACGTCCATGTATGAAGGAGCTAGTCTTTTTATTGAGGGTGCTATGAAGGAAGTGGTCATGCGTACCTATTGTTCTCTAAAACACCTTCAGCACTAGCAGATACACATGCGTGCACAACACCTGAAACAATTATTAATATACATCATGAACATATGAACAATCGCTGACTTTTCCATGAAATCATAAACACATACATCCACACAGAAAACCATCTATAGTATTGCAAGGTTAGCTAACGTTTGTGTTAGCATTTCCAGCAGCAAAACCCTGGACTGCTGCGGCGGTTGAGGGTTGACTCTCTTCATCCAGATCCGTAGGTTTTTGTGGGTCTGAGATCACTTCCAAACATTCATTCGTTTCTGACCGAACCCGTGGAAATGTGGGCAACAAGAACCGATCCATCTTACCACTAGCTCTACCTTTCACTCGTTCACAGGTGGAAAATGAGGTCAAAGATTTCCTGTTTTGGTTTAAGTTTTTACTATCTATAGTAAACAAAGACAATGGTGATTAGGGATAGGAAGTTGGCTCCCTGGTTTAATTCTCATCTACGAGCTTTAAAACAAAACTCTAGAAAATTGGAGAGAACATGGCGCTCTACGCACCATGAGGAGGCCTACCTACCCTGGAAAAATAGTCTTGTGCTTTATAAAAATAAGCTTCGACAAACTAGAACTGCTTATTTTTCAGCACTAATTGAGGAGAATAAGCATAATCCTAAATTTCTTTTCAGTACAGTTGCTAAACTTACACAGAATCATAGCTCTGAGCCATCTAGTCCCTTAGCCCTCAGCAGCAATGACTTCATGGGATTTTTTACAAGTAAAATTAATTCTATTAGAAACAAAATCTTTAGCATCCTCCCTAATGCGATTTCTTCTTCCTCAGTAAGTGAGGCAGCATCAGAGGTAACTGTAGAACCTCATCTGTGCTTGAACTGTTTTGATCCAGTTGAGCTTTCAGAGTTATCAAAAATATTAGCTTCATCTAAACCTTCAACTTGCATTTTGGATCCAATCCCAACCAAATTATTTAAAGAAGCATTACCTTTGGTTACTGCCCCCATTCTAGATATAATCAATCTATCCTTTGTAAATGGGTATGTACCACAGGATTTTAAGGTTGCTGTAATCAAACCTTCACTTAAGAAGCCTTCTCTGGATCCAGATGACCCAATGAATTATAGACCAATATCTAACCTTCCATTTTAATCCAAAGTCCTGGAGAAAATAGTGGCCATCCAAGTATGTGAGCATTTAAACACTAATGCTCTGTTTGAGGAATTTCAGTCTGGTTTTAGAGAGTATCACAGCACTGAAACTGCATTAGTGAGAGTTACAAATGATATTCTCATGGCCTCAGATAAGAATCTTGTGTCTGTTCTAGTCTTGTTAGATCTCAGTGCTGCCTTTGACACAGTTGATCACAATGTTCTTTTAGAAAGACTTGAACATGTTGTAGGGATCAAAGGAACAGCGTTAGGCTGGTTTAAATTCTACCTGTCTGACAGATTTCATTTTGTAAATGTACATGACAAATCGTCTTCATACTCCAGGGTTACTTGTGGAGTACCACAGGGTTCAGTGCTTGGACCAATTCTTTTTACTATATATATGCTCCCAATTGGTAAAATCATTAGACAGCATGGGATAAACTTCCACTGTTATGCTGACGATACTCAGTTATATTTATCCATTAACCTTGATGAACTTAATCGGTTGGGTAGATTACAGGCTTGTCTTGAGGACGTAAAAAATTGGATGACTCTAAACTTTTTGCTTTTAAATCAAGACAAGACGGAAGTTCTCATCTTTGGACCAGAAATCCAGAAAAGGAAATTGCTTAGCCAATCACCTGACCTGAACGGCATTACATTAATCTCCGAGAACAAAGTAAGGAACCTTGGTGTTATCTTTGACCAGGACATGTCATTATAACATAAAACATTATATTTTACTCACCTCTCTCCTCGTGTGATTCTTTCATGTGGGTTAAAACTTCAGCCCAACATGACACTATTACAGTTTTTCTCAATTGTTTACACACATTTTCTGAAAGCATGCCTCATATTCTCAGAACTCTACACACAAATCCAAAAAAAAAACACACACACACACACACACAATGGGCAAACCCCCTCATTTAACCTGCAAAATGAAACTTCACATTCAAAACAATGTTATTTCTCCTCACAATGTGATTTTGTTGTCAAATGACACACAAACCTTCAACAGACATTTATAAGAACCAGCCGAACACTTATGTGCTCAGTGTAAACCACTACGATGAGTGGAAAACACTTCTTCTCCATTCATCATAATGACTTAAGCCTTTTTGGTTCAGTCTTACACTTACTACAGACAGTACATACATACATGTGTTGTAAAATATTTCAGAATATTGTTTTTACACTCTGAACACATAAATACATGGTAAAAATTATTTTATTTCCCCCGCAAAACATTGTACACAGTGTATGTCCCATTCCCAACCAACTCAAAGTTATACACATAAACTACATATAACAGAAGTATTTACTGTATACAGTTACAGTAAAAAAAATACTATGGTGCATCCTCTCTTCGTCAAGGACTCTCTGAAGCACACATGACAATATCAGAAATAAACATGAAGTGGTCACTATTGTGAAGCACAGTCATTATGATTGAAGTATTGAAATATGTAGTATTTATTGTACACAGTGTTGAGTGTATGCATCGTTTGTGGGACTCACTTTCACATAGTTATATTGCAATTCATTGACTCTTTCTGAATTGCATACAAATGGCACCCTGTAGACCTGCTTCATCCTGAGATGATTTCTGAACAAGACAAGGTCCAGTGTTGATAAGCTGACTCTGTCAATATTTTGAAACATGTCATTGTTTTCTATTGTTTTTCTTTGTATTTGCCGTAATGTTAAGGCATTGTTTTCTAGGACCCTGTTCATAATTTCAGTTTCCTGTTCAGGAGACAGAAGACGTTCCCAACCTCCTCGTTTTGGTAATCTTTCAGTTCTGCCAAACAAATTGTAAAATACTGTGAAAATAAATTAGGTATACATTTCCTAAATAAACAGACTTTATAGTATTTTTACTGTCCAACAAAACAGTCCACAGGCAATACTACTACTATACTCATTGAATACTGATTGTATTGATAGGCAGTACTGCCATTTTCTAGTGACAGAAGAATTTGGCTGTACTCTTTGCCCAGCCTCAGACCATGGGTGACCACATGATCAACCAAAGTGGCTCAGACCTCATCAGAGATTACGGTCCTCCCTGTCCTCCTCCTCTTACTCTCACTCCTCTGGCTCTGCCTCTGTTTCCAGTGTTGGCACCCATTGCTCCAAAACAGAAGAGCTCACCTGTTGCCCTTTTATGCTAAAGCTCAGATTGCCGATTGTAAAACTGTGTGACGGGTGTCTGCCTTTGTGATGAGTCAGTGTGCACATTTGAATAGCAGTGTGTTCCTTGTGAAAACAAGATATTTTCTGCATGAAAATTGTGCCAACAGCAGAGAATTGTGTGTAGTGTTTTGAAAAAGTGTGTTTTAGATTAGCAATTTGAGTGCAAAGCAGGAATTGTGCTTGTAGTTTAGCAGAATTGGTTACATGTTGTGGTCATTGTGTCTCAAGTACCAGAAAATGTGTGTAAACAATTGAGAAAAACTTTGAAATAGCCTTGTTACCCGTTTCATTTCAGCTTGTAGGAAGTAAATAATAAAAACCTGTCCTAACCGTAAAGATCAGTGGTGTAGATTGGCTCTTGACATTGGTGGGGATTTGCACGTCTACCATCCTCTCCGGACACTTACTTACACTCACTCACTTTTGGCCCCATGTGTCACTCATGTCGCATTGCAAACGCAGGAGTCTTGCATACAACCGTAACGTTTTCCATCGAGCTTTGGTGCTGTTAACAGCTGGTGTAGTTTGTCTCACGTCCGTCTCCCCTGACAGCACGTGCAGCCAATCACATTAGCCATATGCGTTACGGAAGTAGGAAGTCAGAAAACGTCATTTGACCCTTTCTGCACCTCAAGGGTTATGAGACATTGAATGGTTTGTTGTTTTTTTAGAGGAGGCGGTCAAATTATTGGTGGGGACTATTTGATGATCATTGGAAAATGGTGGGGACACGTCACCTCCGTCCATGCTAAATCTACGCCCTTGGTAAATATACCTTGCACAATCCTGATAATAATATAAAAATCTATCATTCTGACTTCCTATTGGTTTTTTTCCTTATACCTATATATTTTAAACGTATTTGCATTGAATATTCCTTACCAATCTGTTCTGTGGGGTATCCCAAGGATCTGTTTTGGGTCCACTTGTGTTTCTACTGTACATACACCCACTTGGACAGATAATTGATTATTTTCATAATCACCTGTATACAGATGACATTCAGCTGTACTGCTCCTTTAATGATAAACTGTCCATAAACTGTCTGAGTATCTATCAGCTAACAGCTGGCCAGAAGATAACTTCCGTCCGTTAAACTCTCAAAAGACTGGGTGTCTGATCATTGCCCCTGAGAGCATGGCTCCCCTTATTCGTCTTGGTCATTTATCTTCTGCCATCAAGACAAACTTGAGGAATTTGGGTGTTTTTGACCAATCAATGTCTCTTGAAGATCATTCAAAAACATTGACCCAAAACTGTTTTTATCACTTAAAAATATCTCCAAACTGCGACGGCTGGTGTCAAAACATGAACTTGAAATGGTTATCCATGCCTTTATCTTCTCCCATCTAGATTACTGTAACACACTCTTCACAGGTTTTTAAAAAAAGCACTTGACCGCCACACACACACACACACACACACACACACACACACACACACACAAGCATGTATACACACACACACACACACACACACACACACACACACACACACACAAGCATGTATACACACACACACACACACAAGCATGTATACACACACACACACACACACACACACACACACACACACACACACACACACACAAGCATGTATACACACACACACACACACACACACGCACGCACGCACGCACGCACGCACGCGCGCGCACACACACACACACACACACACACACCTTGACCGGAGGAGGCGTTGGGAGTTTCAGCACCACGGACAGCGCATCGCTCCAACAGCTCCTCCTCCTCCAGAGCAACAAATGGGAGAAATTATAAAAAAAGAGGATGACGTCACGCCGTGGGACTCAAAATAACATCCAAGGGAACAAGTTGGAACACGATCCTATTCTGCTAAACTCAGTTTATTTGAGAGATTACTTGTGAAATGAGATTCATAGCCTCTCAGTGCGCGTTGTCAATCCTGATCCTGACCGGAAGGATGAAGGACCTCATGTTCCCGGATCTGTCTGCCTCTTGGTGAATTTTGGCCTCACCATCAAGCAGAAGTTCTCCTTCTTCTCTCTCCCTCTGGTTTCCCTGTTTGAGGGTTTGGAGCCTGCGGGTCATTGGCCACATCAGGAACCAGCAGCCGCCTCCTCCTGACACAAAAACAGCGCGCGCCATTCGCGCCGGCACCTCGACGGGACGCGCGTCAGACTCTCCTCAGGAGCTGAAACTTCTCCCAACGAGCGCCGGACGCGTCTGGAGGTCTGGGATGCGTTCGGGGACCTCGTGGATTACAAAAGGAACTCGTTCCTGCCATTAAATATTTATACAGCTCCCTTAAAGCGGCGGGGATGCACGAGAGACGACGCAACAGCGAGGCTCGCCCGCTCTGAACCGGAGGAGTCACCGGCAGATGATGTCCCGGTGTGAGCGCGTTTCCAGAGGAGACGAAGGAGAGGACGAGGGAGGATGAAGAAGCGCGGAGAGGGCTCGAGAGCGGCAGAGGTGGGATATAATGAAGTTGAGTGGGAGCGGAGTGTGCACCGTGTGCTCCAGCACCCTCCTCTTCGTGTGCGCCCTGAGCGAAGTTGTGGTTGGATTACGATGCGTCTCGCTGGGATCCACGGTGAAGGCGCAGTTCCACCTCGGCGCCGCGGCCGGGGCGTTCTACTCCGGGCTACTTGTGGGAGTCGGCCAGGTCCTTCTGGGCTCCGCGCTCATCTGCTGCACGGAGAAACCGGGTTGCAGGAATTTCTTTCTCCTGGGTGTTGTTGTCTTCTTGCTGGGAGTCCTCACCGCCTTCTCCGGCGCCGTTGTGGACGGGGACACGGCTTCTCTAGTGGACAGGAAGTTCTCCCACTACTGCTTCCACATTGTGAACCCTTCTTGCGAGCAGCTGAGGGAGTACCAGCGGAGTCTGGTCATCTCCACTGTTCTCAGCACCTTGGAGTGTCTCCTAGGTCTCATCACCCTAGTGGCTATCAAACGGTACAAGGCGGCGCAGTTCTCCCGGAGCAGACCGAGCCAGCGGCGGAGCGCCGGGGCCATCGTCTTCAGTGAGGAGCAGGACTGCTCCTCCTCCGGGTTCCAGCCCGTCTCCTACATCAACCTGGGGGTTTTTAACGTGCTGGATGAAACAGGGGCCGAGGTGCAGCGTGGAGGACACCCGTCCATCGAGCTGCCGGGATACTCCCCCTCAGACTCGAATCTCAATCACTGCTTCCCCTTCTCCTACCCCATTCCCAGCGAGCTGCCGCCCGCTTACGAGGACATCTTCCCCGCAGAGACAAGCAACACATAGCCGCTGGAGCGCGTCCCTCCGCTGAGACAATCACTGACTTTGTCCCTGCTCCTCTTCTTCACCCCACAACCAGTAAGTTCCACCCAGGAGGACAGCAGAGGGGGTCCCCTCTCTCATTATGGATCAGAGCAGGTAGAGGAACCAGTCCCAGCCTGCAGGCCCATTAACAGCTCGTCACAAAACCAGCTTGTGTTGGGATGGATGCTGTTTTTATCTGTTAATAAAATATATATTTAACCTCATCTGAAGCCACACAGCTGCTGAATGATTTCTGTTCAGACTCTGTCTAAAAATAAAATCAGCTTTTATTTAAAAAAAAACAGATAAAAACATGAACACATTAGTTTATTTGGTCAAATAACCATGAGTTACAAATGTACTCCTCAGTGGATCTCTAGTTTAAGGTTTGATATTTACCCAGAACTCCAGCAGATGATGATGATGATGATGAAGGTGGTGAAGGTGATTTTGCAGACGGGAAAGTCTAAGGTCCGAATTTAAAATCAAAACCAGAGCTGCTTCACATTTTTGTTGTTTAAATTGATTTAAACTGATCACACACACACACACACACACACACACACACACACACACACACACACACACACACACACACACACACACACACACACACACACACACACACCATAAAAGCCTTTCAGCCTCACCGTCAGCATTTCTCTTATAGAGCAAAGACGATGAATCCGTTTGTTTGTTGTTGTTGTTGTTATTGTCTTGCAGACATGGCCTTCCCTTTTCTCAGATGAAGGCTTTATAAATGAGCATCCGAGCTCCACGTTCATCTAGAAGCACTTTCTGATGAATAAACCTTTAAAGGTCATGTGACCACCCTCAGATATTGGAGAAAGGATCAGGAGAAAGAACCAACCAAAGCTCTTTAGGTTCAACGTAGACTAAGAAATCAGATCAGCAACTGAGATGTTGTAGTTTTTTCCATAAATTGTCTGTTTTTGTCATAAAACTTACTTTACTTTTCATGAATCCTTTGACTTTCTTAACTGCTGCTTCCTGAAAACACATTGTCAGGCCGGGAGCTGGGTTTGCTGAAACAGTCTGACGTTCAGTTAAAGATCATCTGGCTCTGCCTGAACGCTCCTGAATGAAACCTTTGGGAGGCTGAATGTGTCGTAAATAAAACCAAGAACTCTGGATGAAGCTGCTCGTTCACATTCAGTTATTGGACTGCTGATATTTTCCATCCCTCCATACATATTTTTAGGTTATTTAGTGCAAGTCACCCCCAAATCAACTTTTTTTTGCTGATAATCTATTTAAATGAGTGTCGGATCGTGCTGTAGACACGTGCAGTCAGCATGTTGGCACTTTAGTGCATCTTAGTTAAAATTTTAATATTCTGCACGTTGTGCCCTCTTTAGGTAAAAACTCTGCACTGCATTTCAGTTTAAATCTGCCATTGCTATTGGCTAAGAGGTACCCTATGATGTTAGCTGGTACCATATGATGTCACAATGTCATTGTGAGCCTGTGTTTGTATTTGTTAGCGGCTCCGCCCTCTCGGTCTGCCAGGCAACAGCATTTGCTGCATTTTTCAAGCAGGAAGTGGGAGTGGAGAAAGACTGGTAGGGGGTGACTTGCTCTTTAAGCCAATATTTAAAAAATCCCAACTCGTCATCATGTTTCAAAATGTCTGTCTCTATCTACATCACCGTCATTTTATTATATCAAATAAGGGATAACATCTCTGGCGCTGATGATTGGACGCAGTTTGTCCAATTTAATCCATGAGAACATTTTTATTAGATAGAGATTTCTCAAAGAAAGATACAATCTATTTATACTGAGGTTATTAAGGGAACTATGGGCATAGCTGATGTTTCTATTAGGAACCAAACAGCTCTATAAAACCCAGTTGGCCATGTCATCCCTGCTTATACTGAGAGATGTTCCATTTAGCAAAGCAGAACCTTTGCTTTCACTGAAATAAATCTCTGGGTCTGATGGTGCTTGGTTTTGAAACAGCGTGCCAACTATGTACTCACAAGAATATTCACTGTAGTTAGCAAATTATGGTTTTATTAATGACAGTGCCAGAAGATTGTCCTCGATTTTCATGTCCCACAACTTAAAGGTACAACATGTAAGAAATCTACAGAGAAATAGTCTCAAAACAGTCTACTGTCTGAATCATGTTGGAAGGAAGGAAACACTAAAACAAATTTCCTTCTCAGCTGAGGGGTTGCCAGTTTTTATCATATTAAAAAAGCCAAAGAGGGACGTAGTCTTTGTTTACAATCTGAGAGTCCGTGGGGTTGCAGAGTCTGCGCCGGCTGACAAAGCAGTGTCTGCATTTGTAATGCAACAATGGCCCGTGGCTTTATGTTTAAATTTAATATTGGTTGAATAAGTCTAAGTGCTAATGTTGAGCTAACAATGCTAACAGTGAAATTCTCTCGGGAAGATTGTTGAGGCTTCTCTGGCTGAAGTCTCCCTGGGGTCTCCGCACTCCGGGGGAGACCCCAGTTTCTGTGGGGCTTGGTTATCCTCCATCTTCCACGGGTTTTGGGGGGCAGGTCTGTGGCCCCATCATACTCACTATTGACCACTCATATAGAGAAACCTCACATACACAAGTGCATGTACGCACACAGGTGCTCACATGGTGCTCTCACTCTCAAGTATGGACTTTTGAAACATAACCCAAGGCAGTGGTTGGCACTAAATGCAATATGAATTTTTACTGTGTGCTTTTCAGCAACAACTGTTGCTGTATTGTGCGGTTGGCGCAGTGACTTTTAGGTTCTGCTGTATTTTTGTGTGCCCCCCCCCCCCTTCTTCTCCTTTCCAGCAGATTCTTGTACATCCTTTATTGTTTATTTTTATGAACTCCCCACTACCACCTCTTCCTTTTTGCTCACTCATTTTTCTTTCATTTCTGTCTCTGTCCATTGGGATTTAAAAAAGAAAATATTTCTAATGACGTTTTGGTATCAAGCTGAAACTATGCTGCTCCACCTGTGAGAGTAAAACTGTAAGGCTTGTCAGCAGCCCTCAAACATTAATTCTGATAGCTTTAAAGTTGGACAGGACTGGGGGAATACAATGCTAACCGTGACTGTAGCTCCTTTTTCAAATAGCAACAATTCAATATTGCAGTGACATCTATAGATCCATTCATCAACATATTGTGTATGACTCATCTTCACTCGTCATCTAGAATCTCTGGCTCTGATCCATAACTGGCAACAGCCATGAAACTCACGGAAAAGGAGTAACAGAGTCACTTTTTGTTTAAAAACATTGACTGCAGTACCCAATATTGACCACAGGAAGTCAGTATTACTTCATTCTTACATAATACACCTTTTTAAAAACAAACAACAGATAAATAACTTAAAAATGTACAATTCAACTCTGAAACGTTATTAACTTTGGATTTAATAAAACTGTGAGGAATTTTCAAACCGTTGGTTTTTTTATAAAAGGCGAGAAAGCCCCGCCCCTTTTGGAGCTCAAAAGCTCAGGTAGACATCATAGTAGAAACATCATTCAGAGTTTAAGCAGCTCAAAAAAAGTTTCAATTTATATTTTACAATTTTACACAACCGGCCGGCCAGGAAAGGGTGGCTTGCCAACTCTGGGTCGGGAGAGAAGTCCTACCTCAAGTGGAGGAGTTTAAGTATCTCGGGGTCTTGTTCACGAGTGAGGGTAGGAGGGATCGGGAGATCGACAGGCGGATTGGTTCGGCGTCTGCAGTGATGCGGACGCTGAGCCGATCTGTCGTGGTGAAGAGGGAGCTGAGCCAGAAAGCCAGGCTCTCGATTTACCGGTCGATCTACGTCCCAATCCTCACCTGTGGTCATGATCTTTGGGTAATGACCGAAAGAACGAGATCGCGGATACAAGCGGCCGAAATGAGTTTCCTCCGTAGGGTGGCCGGGCTCAGCCTTAGAGATAGGGTGAGGAGCTCGGACATTCGGGAGGGACTCGGAGTAGAACCGCTGCTCCTCCGGATCGAAAGGAGCCAGTTGAGGTGGTTTGGGCATCTGGTCAGGATGCCTCCTGGACGCCTCCCTGGGGAGGTGTTTCGGGCATGTCCTGCCGGCAGGAGGCCCCCGGGTCGACCCAGGACACGTTGGAGAGGTTACATCTCCATTCTGGTCCGGGAACGCCTTGGGGTCCTGCCGGAGGAGCTGGTGGAGGTGACCGGGGAGAGGACGGTCTGGAGCTCCCTAGTTGGGATGCTGCCCCCGCGACCCGGATAAGTGGAGGAAGACGACGACGAGTTTTACACAAACGCTGTTACAATTTTGTTATTTAAAAAGGTTTCATTTAAATCTTGTGTGATTGTGACGACTAAACTCAAATATGGGCAAAAAAGCTTTTCTTAGTCGTGGTTCAGAAAATAGGAATTTTAAATTGTTGAACAAATTTCATACCTTGAGCCCATATTTGGGGTGATAAAAAAAATCATGGATCTAACGGTTTTTGTTCTGCAGTGTATGGTGTGCATCCACACTGCAAAAACTACACACCACACCTAGAGAGATCTCACACACGGACATTCCCCGGTCAGACAAGAAATCTCACAAAACAATGCGAGCTCAAACGTGATTTTGGAGTAAAGAAACATGGCAGAGGAGGAGCGTGCACCATCACCTTGTTTCCTGATTGGCTACAAGTTACATTCAACAAGCAGCATGCTTATGGAGCTAGGATTAGGACAGTATTACATGTAACCTGTAAGGTGTTTTGCAACTGTAACTTTAATTTTGTATCATGTAATTCTCTTTTTGTAACATGACGTTTTGTAACTTGCAGTCCTAAAAAAATTCAATATGCAGGTTTCAAATCACAACTTTTGAAACACACATCTCAGTCTGCAGTTACAAAACTCAAGTGTACAAGCTACGTGTAATTTTGTCCCAAATCTAGCTCCATAGTTTATCACCCAACATAACTTTTAGTTTCCACCCACCTGCGTTCCTACTGGAGTCCAATGGACCACATGTTTTTATTGATTTTTCACGACTTTCAGTTTCTTCTCTAATCCAGGAGCTGTGAGTACTCCTGTGAGCATTTTCATGGTCTTGGTCCAAATGTAGCTACTTACAGTCCTGGTGGGGTCTAAGAGACCCCATGTGCACTTTTTCGAGTTTACATTTCTATTCTCTAAGTTTCTTGACTAAAGCCTATTCAGAGGTGGAAAGTAACGAATTACATTTACTCACGTTACTGCAATTGAGTAGCTTTTTTGTATATTTATACTTTTTAAGTCGTTTTTAAAAGCTGTACTTTTACTTTAACTTGAGTACGTTTTTAAAAAAGAATTGTAATTCTCTAAATTTAAATCATATTCGTTACTGAGTAAAAACAAATTATAGGCTTAATAAATTAAAAATATTACGTGTAGCAGCGTCGGAACAGAAAAAGATGCCTGCATGTGTCACGTTGCAGGTTAGGAGGAGGTTAGAACCCAAGATGCAGAAAACCCCAGATGACACGAGGCAGGAGCCGTTTAAAAGTAAAATCCTTTTATTTAGGATGAGGAACCAAAAATCCAAAAAGGGCAGGAAGCCAAAAACCAAAATCCTGAACACCAGGACAACGAAAGCTCACAAAGAGCACAAACCACGAGACGAGGCACAAAAGCTCACATAGAGCACAAAACAACGCTGACACACAACAATGGACCAACAAGATATTGAGACAAAGACAGGGCTTTATACACTGGGGCATGATGGGAGGCAGATAGGCTGCAGGTGTGTGGAGAGAGAACCAGGTGAAAGCAATTAACTAATCAGGGAGGAAACTAACATGACCTAAGAGAAAAACCTAAAGACAAGAAAAGCAACCACATAACTAATGTTCTACGGGGAAGGAAAACTACAAACACCGGTGGGAAAAAACACACTAAAGACACTAATAAAATGAAAAGCTGAAACTATAAAAACTGCATAGGGATGACTGGGGAAGACTGAAGGGACACAGGACCTGGGAGAGATGATTTGGAGGGTTGTAGAACAGGGAACACAGAAAGAGAAACCACAGGGGCGTGACTAAGGAGGACCACGGGGAGCACAGGACCTGGAGGTAGATACCGGGGGGGGAAGGAAACCTAGAGGGACTGCAGCTCTGGGAACACATGAGAAAGACGTAGACAATGACACAAGAGGGCGCTAGGACACACAACAGGA